TTCTGATATGAGAGCATCCGCCATCTGAGATAGAGCTCAAACTATGTGTGAGCATGATGTTCAAGGTATCAAGATATCACAAAGAGATTATCTACCATAACAGAAATCTTGCAACATGAACATCAACTAGTCAGCCATTTCCTTAGTTGCACACAAATAAAGATAAACATAAAATGAACCTTATGACATGCAGAAACATAACCTTTTAGGGATGCATTTCCAATTAGGGAGAGAGAAAAAGTTGAACTTTTTCTTTGACATGAAAAGGCGACATTAACCCCATTCACCGTTTCTTCTCTTCCTTTGCTTCTTCTAACTAAAGCCTAAATTGGCTCCCAGTCCCTTCCATACAAAGTGGTGGAGATCCCTTTTATATGTTGAAGAGGGGTCTACACAGTGTAGGAATCTAATTTAAAACATTCCCAACAGATATCTGCACCACCACCGTTTGAAGAGAGCCAGAGGATGGGAACCCTTTGCCTCTCCCAGTAACTGGTTTCACCATCAAGGTTATTTCACTGGAGATTTTTTTTTTTAATATTCAGCCAGAAGAACTTTCTTGTAATCTAAGAGCAGTATTCTGGGTCCTTCGCTGTGGGGTGGGAGAAAACAAGCCTTGGCCTTCTTCTGTGTGATGCTTATTCAATAGCACTGTTATATCTTTCCTCAGCTGTCCTTTCTTAAAGTCAAGTATAATAGTTCCTTTAGTCTCTTCTTATAGGACTTAACTTCTACAGCTGTGCAAATGCTAACCATAGGTTTGAGGGTTAGGGCTAGTTCTTCTAATTTCTTCTTATAGGGCTTAATTACTGGAATTATGAAGATTTTAAGAGCATGTCATAACAGGCAAATCATAGGTACAGATTGCACACTAACTTTATCCAGGTGTTATATTTTCTAATACACTTCATAGATTAGACTCCAGGTAATTGGAGGCAGCCCACCAAAGTCACTTAAATGATCCCTCATTTGACCATATAGCCATATGGGTAAAAGCTTTCCATCTTCAGATTTCATGACCCTAACTCTGGCTGAGGGTGATTAGCTTGAGCATTCCGACATGGAAAAACCCAAACTATATGAGTGACTACATTACATGCTAAATTTCCTCTGTAAGAAGATTGAAATAATTACTTCTTAATCATCACCTGAGGTTTCTAATAAATGTAGGGCACCATTTATTTATAATAAATATATATTTTGGATCAAAATAACTTTGCTCTGAAGTTTTGGGATGACTTGCTACTAATTTAAAAAGATATTAAATATTAAGATGCATTATTTCAATACATATACAGGTAAATTATTTCAGTTTTATCTATCCATTTCCATTTCTCACAAAGATGGGTCTAGATCCCTTGAAGAAAAGAGCAGAATCATTCAATGAATGCAAAATCTCAGAAGTTGCAGTGATCTCATGAGCAAAAGAGATCTTAAGTCAGAATGGTTTGAGAGGAAAGGCCTTCAGCTCAGAAAGCGGCTGCTCAGGGGCAACGCTGTCCAGACTCTGGCACACTTCTTCTTATGAGTCACATGCCAGGCAGTGGACAGAATTGCCTACTAGAGAGATGGGAAACCTCCCAAGTGCCCTTTGGAAACAGTGGGACCCATTAGGATCTGGGCCAGATCACCCAAATGGGTGATCCTGCCCAATAGAGGCCATGGGCATCTCTGAATTGTACCCAGATCAAGGCGTGATCTAACCATGTCATTGGGATGATGGAAACCCTCCCCCTCCAGATCATCAACCAACTGTGGAAAAACAAAAAACCATGTTGAAGGTGTGACTGCCAAGATAGGTTGGGTGTGAGAGAAATCTCAGAGAAACCCATGGTTGCCAGGGAGGAGATGATCTCCTGAGTCTTACTAGAGCTGTTTCCCAGGGCAGACAGATTGAGCCCAAGGATCAAAAGGTTGGAATTCTCCATCCTCATCCTGGAAACCAGCTCTGGCAGTTTGGGAAGAGATCCTGCCAGGCAGCAGGACAGTCAGTACACTGGCAGGTACCCAAGCTTGTCTCATAGTTCAGCCTAACATAAAAGCACTCACCCCCCACTGTCTCAATGCTAGTGTTACCAATACTAAACAGGCATCCCTAATGATCACAGTGAACCCCCCTGCCTGGCTTTGGCATTGAAGATGTTGAAGGACCCAAAAGGGGCAATTGGGGTGGAAGTCAAGGTTACCACAAGATTGAAGGACTTAGTTCCTCTGGAAGTCTATCAACTGCACACCCTCCCTTGATATTTCCTGCAGGCCAGCACTACCACAATAAAAGTGATTCCAGCTAGGGGCAACCTGCCCTCCCCTACTATGGATGGATTTATGTCCCAATTGATCCAAAACCAGAAGAAGATTATTTTAAAACTGGTGGAAGAAACACGTATAACCTGCACTCTGCTGATGAACTACTCTGTAGTATTTTCTGTAGAGGAAAATGTACATGATCTACAAGCACCAGTAATGAAAGTTGAGGATCAGAGTGAAAAAATGAGACTGAGTTTAAATATAAAGAAGACCAAGTTCATGAAAACAGGTCCAGCCACTAGCCTTACAATGATAATAGTGAAGTGGTGGGTAGTTTCTGCCTTTCAGGATCAACCATCAACAATAAAGGAACAAGCAGTCAAGAAATATATTATTGACTAGCACTTGGCATGAAAGCCTTGGGAAAGGTATTCAGTTGGCATGATGTGTCTATACCATAAAGATCAGAACTGTACAGGCTGTGATATTCTATGGAGGTGAAAGTTGGTCTTTGAAGAAGCAGGACAGGAAGAGTATTGACACTTTTGAACTCTGGTGTTGGAGAAGACTCCTGAGAAGTCTGGCAGCCAAGAAAATAAACAAATGGAATCATGAAACAAATCAACCCCAAATTCTCACTTGAGCATGAATGCCCAGGTTCAAAGTATGTTTAGTTGCATCAGCAGTGTGTGGCTGGCAATCTTTGTAAGCTTTTCAAAGCAATCCTTATGAAACAAGTCTACTAATTACAGATCTCCCCAGTTTGAAATAATAATAGCTGTGGTGAGTTGGAAGATTGGGAAACTGAATAAAGCTGAAGTCTCCTTATCCATTTTAAATGAGCATGGAGTATTAATTGAGTAAAGCTAAATTAATTAAATGGGACTGTCCCCTCAGTGGAACTTATTTTTAAGTAGTAGTGTCTGGAGCTCCAAAGGGGCATGTGCAAACACACATTCTTTGTCAGTTGAATTGAAGGGGCTGGATGTGATTCAATGAGTTAATCTGACTGAACTATGTTTGGATTGCCCCAGCTTCTAACTGAGACTTGAATTATATATAGGATTTGGGCAGGCTCCATTATTGTGTAAATATGAATAAATGTAATGACAGTGGGATTGATTCTTCCTTCAGGCCTTAGGGCTAGAAAGTTTATGGAGCCAGATCGGTGTTTTGGCTTGTTTGATTGAGAAGCTCATTCTTACCTGGTGTCTCATTGTTCTTCCTATTGTTTTGTACACATATTTGTAAGATATCCACAGTTATTGGGTTAAGATGGCTGGCTATATAAACATGTAAAATAACATGGAACAAAATTAAACAAAATTGATTAAGAAGAGAATATGACGGGACAGGGACATGAATTCTGATGGCATATGCCACTGTGAATCCAGGCAGCAAGGTTACCTGGCAGCTTCAAGATATGATAGCTTATGTAGCATTCAGTGGGCAGAAGCCATTTCTGTGTATGAATTAAGAAATGAGTGGAAAGTTTCTGTAATGGCTGAGGTGACGTGGAGAGCTGGCCTTTAATATCTTCTCAGGAAGACTTCAAAAGTGGGTTGATAAACTCCTAGAAGATAGATCTATCAACGGCTATCGCTGGTGACGGCTCTACGTTATCTCTGTTTCCTAGCCATTATACATCCAAATATGAGCAGAAGAGAGGTCTGTTGCCCTAACCTCCCTCTGAAAACCACAGAAGAATTGGTTTACATGAAAAAGATGCTCAACTCAAAGGGGCCTTTGATTTATCCAGAGTTCCCATTGGGAATTTGTGGACCTCCATGTATCCTCAGTATCACTAGGCATAGTGTAGTTCAATCACATCTTCAAGAGGACAGATTGTCTACCCTAATGTGCTCCAGAGTAATGCCAGCATGCAGACAAACCTGATTGAGTTGAGTGGTCAACATGAGCACCCCAGATCCTTAATCAATCCCAGTCACTACACTCTATTCTTTTGTCAGCTTGAAGCAGTTCATGTGTTATTGAATGCATACATGGACAAAGACAATTGAAAAGAACTACATTTCCTGATCAGACACCAGGAACTCCTGACTCTAACAGATAGATGATCTTCATAGCAACCATGGGCAGGATCTTCCTGGGCTTGGTCTACATTGAGGTTCAACTAGGGGCTTCCCAACAGTTCAATTTATACATTATTCCTGACAGTAAATGTTTCATCAACCAGTTCACAGCCAGTTGTGGGGCACAATTATTAACTGTCTCAAAGGGAACCATACAGAAAACAAACCAAGATGAGTTTGATGGATGGGAAAGAAGGTCTACTAAAGTCCTATCATCCCAGCACTTTACCAGATGCAGGCTGCCAACTGGAAATAAGGAACTGAAATGTGAGTAAAGGTTACTCTTAACAAAAGCTTGGAAACCATGTAGCAGAAAAAAAGACTTGCAATACTAGAAGCTGTACATTTTTAAAGTAGGTAAAAAAGAAAAAAAGCAAGAGGAGCTTTTCTTGCTATTAATAAAATTGATATTTGCAAATATAATGGAATGTTATAAAGAGCAAAGTTTGCTCTTCTCTCTCTCTCTGTTATTGCTTTTCATTACTTACTTCAACAAAATAAAATAATGACTTCAAACATTAAACATGTGATATCAGTTACTGCCCTTTCATCTCTTTAAGGGGACATCACAACTCGTCTTCCTGCATAGTTTTTTTTCTGCAAAATATTTTTTTTTTCCCCTCTGTCCTCCAATTAAGAAAATAAACCAATGGGTTGAGGCTACTCTTGAAAGAGGCACAAGAATACAGTCTTGAGGAATAACAGCTGGCTTTAAGGAAGCTTTTCTTACACCTCTTCTATAACTGGACCTAAGATCTAATAGGCAAGAGTAAATATATGAACAGACATTAATGGACTTCAAACTTCAGAACTTCTCCAATTCTGCAAATAATTTTGTGATTTGAAAATGTCAGAAATAAATAAAACATATTGACAAAAAGTTGGTGATAGAACTGATTAAATCTTTTAAAATCTTCAATCTGATGAAAAGATGCTTGGACAATATGTAACAAAGAAAATTACATGCAATGATGAGAGCTACAGTACATATTTTTAAAGTCTCATAAGAAAAGAAATTCTTATTACACACTGATAATGAAATATAATAGAACGATAGAAAGCATTCTTTTTCTGGATACATGTCTCTTCACTTTTGAAAACTATGTACATAGCGGTTTTTCCTATTTTCGTTTCTTTGTGTTTTATGATTTAGTTGTGTAACTTATATCAACTTAGTACGTCGTTAATGAATCTACATATTATTTCCCAAAGAAAACTGTGGCTTAAAACATGGTATATACATTTTCAGTGACAATTCACAACTGGTCTTCCTCCATGGTTTTCTGATTTTCTGGCTTGTCCTGCTCAT